AATACATAGTAATGTTGTAAGAAAGACTTAATGCCTTGTTGGCGTGCATTCATTGCCTTTCGAATGTAGGTCAACGATGGTAATATTCTCGACCTACGACGTCCTAGGTCGAGCCGTTACAATTTACATCTCAAAACATCATTAGTTAGATTATACAAAATTGGGTGTAACGTTGTTAAAATTAAGACTTCTTATATTAATATTTTTTTAAAGAAGTAATACACTTCTTTCATTAGCTTCATTGACACATTCATCGTATTTTTCTTAGGTTCTATCCTCAAAGATGCACCACACTCATGTGCCTCATGTTGACTCTCTCACTACCAAAGAGTCGGTCTTTCCTCTCAATACCCAATTATGGTCGAAAGATGATAGAGGAGACGATGATAATGAGGACTAGCCTCTTTTTTTGGATTTTAATGTTTTCATATACACGAACGCATTTATATATTTGTTTGATTTAAATTTATATTATTTTAGTTTTATTAAATAATATTTTGTGTTCTAATAAGGTGTTATTTTTAGTTGTTTGTTACTACCATTAACATTAAATGGTTATATATATATATATATATATATATATATATATATATTTAGCTAAGGATCAACAACCGAATTGTGATGGATATTACCGATGTATTTTGAAATGGTCTCTATTTAGCAATGAAAATAAGGGAGAATAACGATGGTTTTGTGATAAATTGGCAACTTAAAATACAAATGTTTACGTCGATTTAATGACAAAAATACTTCAAAATACCAACGGATATTCTATTGCCGATCAACGATGGGTAGTACTTTTCATTGCTAAAAAATAGCAATGATCATTTTAGCTTCGAAATAATTTAATCGCAAATCTGTCACTAGAAATTAATAGTAATGGAAAATATTAATATAGCAATAGAAAAGTCTTTCGCTATTTGACTGTTTTTATGTAGTTTGATTTGATCCATATGGTAATAAATACCTTCTTTTGACAAATAAAATTAAAACAATCTTGTTTTTGCAAAGAAGATTTGAAAGCACCCTTTAAAAAAAATCTCACAAAATGAGTATTAAATAGTTTAATCCCATAAGTTTTAACATTATATTATATTTTTCACACTCACATGTTACTTTAAAAAATCAATCATAAATAGATACAATACCAATAATTTCAGCAAAATAAATAAATTTATAACAATAGAACTATAACCTAAAAACTTAAATTAAATTGATTTTTTTTTCCAACCACTTCCTTAGAGCATTATGTTATGTATGGGTTCATAGAACATGCACGTGAAATAACTAAAACGATGAATCATATTTAATAATCCGCGAGAGCGAAACATTTCTTTTCGTTTCATGACTGTATAGCATAAATGGATTCGTATAGTTTTAAATTTGGGAATGTTTTTGCAAATAAAGAATCGTTCTAGCGTTTTGTATTTCGAATCAAGATCTTTCCCACAAACCCCTTGTATTTAGAACGAAAAGCATCTCATTTGAGAGTACGTAAACGATGCGAAAGTGATGGGAGACTTCAACTCGTTAACTGCTGCGTAGAGTCGCCCTCATTGTGTCCCCAATCTCTCTCTGGACTAAATATCCTCTCCCTATCTATCTACCTACCTACCATATCTATTATAGGTAGCACCATTTTTAAGATTTTACAGAACCTAGCTAGCTCATAGTTGAATTCAATCACAGCCATAAATTTTAGAGTACTTAAAAAAAATCGTATTTAAGTAATTGAAACGGATGGTATCTAAATCCATTTTCTTTTTTAAAATAAAAAATATCTAGATCTGGCCCATGGAACTTTTTGTTTCTTTTTGCTTTTGTGATGGATTCTCTCCTAAAAACATTTCTTCCGCACGCCCTTTCTTTTCCATGGAAGATGAACCGTCACATATATGGCTTCAGATGTGTCAACTTAAAAATATTATTAGGCGATGGCTAAATAAAAATGACAATGGATAAGTACGAAGAGGATATTCATTCTATATAATCAAATAATTACTTATTAAAAATTTTTAATAGTTAGGTAAGAGTTAAAAACATACATACCACTAAAAATTGTGTACTATTTTATACACTCTAATTTTTTTTTTGATAAAATAATATACAGGGATTTGATTGTATAATTTTTATAAAATAAAAATCAAAACGTTTTTTATGAAAACTTTGAAATAAAAAATACTTATACATAAAGGATCAAATTGCAAAAAATATTAATTTTAAGGACCAAAATTCTTTTTTAAAAAAATTTAAAGGTTAAAATAAAATATTTTTATCGTGTATTAAATAAATGTATATCGAGTATGGTTGAAGGGCATTGCAATTACAAGTGTTAGTGTAAAAGATATGCAACAAAAGAATAACATTGACAATTAGGAAGTGTATGTAGTCTTGTGGAGGAGAATTAAAAGGTTGCAAGAGAGCTTTTGTTGAAAAGAATTAGTTGCATGAAACGTTCCTCTGCTTTTGATATTTTTGATATTTTTTAATATAGTTTTTCTGATGATTTTTGACTAATGTTTTGAGGAAACGTGACACATGATAAAAAAAATAATGCGTCAATCATGATAAGTTAGATTAATTTATATCGTAATAAAATAAAATAAAATAAAATAAAATATTTAGCTAAAAGCGAAAAAAAACTATCAAAAGAACTATTTTTAAAAAATTCAAGAAATAGAAAAATACAATAAAAACTAAAAACTTTAAGAAATAGAGAAATACAATTAAAAAAAAAAAGACTAGAAGGGTTATATTAAAAAATTATCGAAAATAAAGAAGCATGAATTAAATTTTGTGGAAAATGATGTTGAGGTGCTGACTTAGCCACATACAAATTCTTTTTTAGCTTTTCTGTTACAAAGATGTGGATGGTAAAATTCATCAGTTTATTTTTTTGAACAATAGCAAATCCGTTCGACCTTCAATCTTCATCAATGCATTTTCTAGTTGTAGTCATTTGGTAGTGCTTGATTGTGTTGTTCCATCGATTAAAAATGACCGATGCCGTCCACCCACCCAAGTCCTCCATTTTTTGGGTGAGTTGCTAGCGGACTGAAGGGCTTTCTCTGTGGGCCTTGTTGGGCTTCTTTCTCTTGCACCAGCAGAAAAGAGAAGGACGGAGTTTGGTGTCCTAATTTTGTTCCTCCTTTTTCTGATGGAACGTTAGGTTCTCTGATCTGATTTGACCAATCAGCTCAGACTCCTTTTTTTTTCTCTCTCTCTCTGTTTTTTTGTTTTTTTCTTCCTGTTACTTAAATCATAAAAATTAAGAACTGCAAAATTTCGGGGTAAAAAGAAACCACTACTTCCGTATATTAATACGATACCTTAGTTCCCTTGTGATGACTTTTCAGCTACTGTTTGGAGTCGTTAGTGATTAAGTGGTTTCATTGGTAGAAGAGCGGGCCCCCATAAGGTTGGGCCCTTTTCTATCTAGGTAGCATCAGGAGAGTTGTTTCAACTTCCACGAATGTACGGCCTCTGGCTCCTTTCTTTACAAAGGAAGAAGAAGAAAAACAAATCTTAGTTCCAAAATGAAAATTTGCAGGTCTTGTTTGGTTGCAGAATAAAGAAAGTACGTTTCTAGAAAAGTTTTCCACAGAGATTGTAAAATAGAGTTACATGTTCGAATAAGAAAGCTTTCTGATTACAGTGAACTTGAGACCCATGTTTTCCATTTTTTAAAATTGGTAATAAGTGGAAAACATCTCAAAGTGGTTCTCTAAAGTTTTCCTTAATGAAAATATCAATTTGGAATACCAAATAAAATAAAAAAAGAATTATTCAGTTTCGTTTTTTTTGGTCGATATTTCCATGAAAAAAGGATATTGCCATAAACAAATCCATCAAACACTTCGGTTTCTGTTGAAAATGAAATTGCACAATCAATTTAAGATCTTTTAGTATGGCAAGATAACTTCAAAATTTTTACTGATATTGTTCTCGTTAAGCAATCTATAAGAAGATACATAGCATTTTCCTTACTTTTTTTCCTTGATTTATGCATCTGAAACAGCAAATTAGGTCTCAAAACATTAGAAAAAAGTCAATGTATCCGTACGGTGAAGAAAAACACCAAGCCCATCCATGCCAAACAAAGGGAACATTCCATCTTCCCATGGAGAAATCCTAACCAAAACCCACCAAAAGAGACGCCATTTCCTTGGACAATTATGAAACCCGAAGACTCCATTTCACCCTTCCTGTAAATGAATCCACAGTCCATGTGGTTAAATGTCGAATCGTCTCTGATCCACCCTCCACCTGTAGAATCTAGCTTTCCTCGATTGCTAGTTGACAATAAAATCCTCCCTCTCTCTCTCTATATATATACAAAAGAAACCATCTTCTTTACCACAACACACACACACACACACACAATCTCTTCCACCATCTCTAACTATTGATTCTTTATGTCGTACCATTCTATTTTCTTTGTTTCATTTCAACCTTAAAAAGAACAACTGAAAACAACCACAGAGTTAAAGCACCCCTTCCATACAAAACAAGAGAGAAACCAAAAAAAAAAAAATGCTAGAAGAAGCTTAAAAAATAGTACTATATCAGCCGCAGAGAAATTCCTTGTTGTGTCTCAAGTAAGCTTTGTTTTATCAATTCAAATTCTTCTAGCTTTTCTCCTATTTTATGGTTGATCATCAAAACAGAAGCTAATTGCCCCCTTGGTTCTCTTAGTTTGGGCTCAAATGAATAGATTTCCAGAAGTCATGGGTAGTTTCAGAAATTAGAATTTTTCAAATGTTTCTAACTTTCTCCCTTTCCTTTTTTTTGTTTTTTGTATCATCAACATCAGCAGAGAAATCTGAGCTCCACTTTCTGGATACGAGTGCACACTTTTCCTGGCCCGGAAGTGTGATTACTATAACTAGAATTTTTCTGTCAGCAACCTCTGGTAGGTTCTGACCAGGGGTGTAAAACAGAAGTTCTCCGGTAATTAGGGGGATTTTCATCAATTGGTATTTTCCTTGAGCTCCCTAGAAATGATTCAGCCTCGTTTCCAACCGGGTCATGATCCGGCCAGAAAACTTAGACCGTTATCTCTTCCAGATAAAATCTGCGAGATATTCTCATATCTCACGAGAATTTCTCTCCTCTTTTGTCTCATTTCATCGATATCTCTTGTCCTCTACACCGCTTTTTTCTCCAACAACCAGACTCCATTGAGGCTCCGTTTCCCCCACCCTACCCGAACTGGAACCCAACTCAGACCCGGCCCGCCAACAAACATCTCCCACATCCTTTTTGGCATCGGTGGATCAAACGCCACTTGGCGCGATCGTAGCCGTTACAGCTCCATCTGGTGGGTCCCGAACGTCACACGAGGGTTTGTTTGGCTTGACGAAAAACCCAACAATACTCAGACCAATAAAAACGTGCCGGCTGTTATGGTTTCATCTCCAGAGTGGACCCGGTTTAAATTTTCCAGCTCAAGATCAGCGGTCAGGATTGCAAGGATTATAAGTGATAGCGTTAAATTAAGGTTGCCTCATGTGAGGTGGTTTGTAATGGGAGATGATGATACTGTGTATTTCACTCACAACTTAGTTTCTGTGCTATCGAGGTACGATCATAATCAAATGTGGTACGTTGGAGGGAATTCTGAGAGCGTGGAACAAGATACGATGCATTCTTATGATATGGCTTTTGGTGGCGGTGGATTTGCTCTTAGTTATCCACTGGCTGAGAGATTGGTCAGTATATTGGACGGTTGTCTTGATAGGTACTATTATTTCTACGGTTCTGATCAGAGGATTTGGGCTTGTATCACTGAGATTGGCGTGCCGCTTACCAGAGAACGTGGGTTCCACCAGGTATGTGTTTCTTTTTAATTGATTGTTAGGCCTTCCGTTCTTTTTAGGGCAGATTATCAAATGGGGCATCGAACAATGGTCGTTGTCTCATGACTGAGACGGTCTTCGACAGTACAAGTTTTGTCTGTCAGTCCAAAAATTATAATATAAGATACAAAAGGAGTATTAGATAGTTTAATCCCATAACTTTTAACATTATGTTATATTTTTCACACCCACATACATGTTACTTGAAAAAATCAATCATAAATAGATATAATGCCTATAATCTCAGCAAAATAAATAACTAAATAACAATAGAACTATAACCTAAAACCTTGGATTAAACGATTTTTTTTTCCTGAACATTCCAACCACTTCCTTGCAGCATGATGTTACGTATGTGAAAATAACTAAAACCTAAGTAGTTTACACATGCACGTGAAAATAACTAAAACGATGAATCATATTTAATAATCCGTGAGAGCTAGGCATTTCTTTTCTTTTTATGATTATATAACATATATGGATTCCTGTAGTTTTAAGTTTGGGAATGTTTTTGCAATTAAATAATCATTCTAGCCTTTTATATTTAGAATCAAGATCTTTCCCATAAACCCCTTGTATTTAGAACGAAGAGAATCTCATATGAGAGTCAAATGATGCGAAAGTGATGGGAGACTTCAATTCGTTAACTGTTGCGTAGAGTCCCCCTCATTGTGTTTCTCTGGACTAAATATCCTCTCTATCTATCGACCTACCTACCATAGCCAGCCCCATTTTCAAGCTTTATAGAACCTAGCTAGCTCATAGTTGAATTCATTATTTTTTCTCCCCAAAATTTTTATGTGAAAAAAGAAGTCAATTACCGGTGATTCTCTATAGTGCTAGAGAATAATTACCGCGGCTATAAAAGTTGCACGAACGATTTATTAATTATTTGGTCTACACACGCGCAGAGTCACAGACACGGTGGTCCAAAAGGGGAATTCAACAGGAGAATAGCACATAAAATGAAATCACATGCAATGGTACGGTGTCGTTCCTGTAAGAACAGGACTAGCTACAAATTACTAGGGACGGGTCAGCAAGGTATTGAATCGTAATAATCTTTGTAAAACAAACTTGAACTTGTCCTGCTGCCACTTGTCGCTGCCTTAAATTAGGTGACGGGTATTAAAATAGCTATTAGTCAGCAATTGGTATCAATTTATTGAAGGAATATGAATCTCTTATTTTTAATGTGTCATAAGGCGGTCTCTCCACGTAATTAGTGTATGATTTTTTTTTTTATAGATTAGTGAAATTATGTGAGAAGATCGAGAAAGATTAGGAAAAAAGACTAGGCTTTTGAAATAAGATGTGATGGTATTGGTAGCTAAGAAAGCAGCTGAACTTAAAACATAAGGTTATTTTGTTAATTCTCCAAGGAGATAAAAAGTGTACCTCTATGGACATTAACTTTTGCCGCTGTGTGTTTGTCCTTGGTATCAGGAGATGCTAGGTGGCGCCTCCGAGGGTTTTAAAAATGGAAGGCAGCTCTGTCTTTTTGTGCTAAGTTGCCCACACAACGCCACACGGTCCACACCCTTTCGACATACGGGCCACCTATGTTGGTCTCTACAAATAGAAAAGTTTCTTTGGGTGCTTAACCTGGCCATTTTCTTCTCCCTCTGATTGCCACGTATAATTTGGATCCATTTGCTTTTTAATTTAGAATATGAAACCCGGTAGTAAAGAATTAACAGGTCGTCATTAGATCTTGACCCATAGACTTACTTTCAAATATTTCGTCACATAGAAGGGTCATGCTGTGGACGATTAGCCATGGAAATCTTCACGCTTGTAGATTCGTTTTACTAGGTCTATTCTTTTCAGTTAAAGTTTGGACACTTCTATCTTCACAGGGAGTGTATGGTAGATGATTGTCTGGCAACTTTTTCGATTACATATGGAAGTAATTATTATGAATTCCAAACTTAAACTGTTGGAAAGAATTTTGAATAGTGCAGTAGCATTGTTTTCCTTTCTAGATAAAGCCGTGTCTCCTCTGTTTAAATTGAATAATTCCCACGATCAAGGAAAGATCAACGGTAATTCATAGAAATTAGGTCTCAGTTTTATTGAAAACAGTTTTACAAAAATTGACATTACAGGAATTTTGCTGCCAAACTCTGCATTAGCTTCTCTTTTTCACCCGGGATCCTCACTTGCCTCTATTTAATTCCACACGGACTTCTTAATCCTTTTCGTCGTTTGATGTTCAACTGCCAATCCTTCGTTAGTGTGTGTTGATCCTGTATCCCTATGAATGGTTGCTGGTTACTATATTCATTTTTGGTGTTTTTGAAATTGAATTTGACCTCGCATCAGAAAAGAGTGAGGTTTTTCAGAAGAGTAATCTCCGGTTAAGTGGTTCAAGATTTGATAGAACTTTTCGATGAATTTCAAAAACAAAATGTGGGAAATTGCTAAAAACGAAGACAAAAGAATTTGTTTGCTTTGCATATTGTTATATTGTTGAAGTGGTTAGCTTTGTGCAATTGTTGCTAATTTTTAACGAAACAACTTATTCATGATACTGAATTTTATTTTTTAACTTTTGGTGCCGTGTGTTTTGATTTCTACAGTTCGATATTAGAGGAAGCGCATATGGTCTCCTAGCAGCACATCCTCTAGCCCCTGTTGTATCCCTCCACCACCTTGACAATTTGGAGCCACTGTTCCCAAATCGCAACCGAATAGACTCGCTTAAATCCATAAATCAGGCATACCAGGTTGACCCGGCCCGAATTTTTCAACAAACATTTTGCCATGACTACAAGCGGAAATGGTCAATATCCATAGCATGGGGCTACACGGTTGAGCTGTACCCCTTATTGTTGCCAGCCAAGGACTTGCAAACACCGGTCCAGACGTTCAAGACGTGGCGGAGTTGGAGTGACGGACCATTCACATTCAATACTCGACAGATGGAACCTGACCATTGTAAACAACCCATTGTTTTTATGCTCGAGCGGGCTGAGGAAGTGGGCATTAATGGGTCCTTTTCTAGTTACGAGAGGACTGTGCATAAGCCAGATAAGACTTGTAATTCAACAAGCTATGCCCGAGCGATGTCGGTTCAGCGAATTCTTGTATCCTCCTTGAAATTGGGGCCAGATTATTGGAGAAAGGTTGGTCTTTACATGCTTAATTATCTGCATATTCATGTCTGTGGTGTTTGTATCTATTAGTGTATGTATGGCGCTCACAATTTTATTGATGTCCAATGAGCAGGCACCAAGAAGATATTGCTGTGAGTTAATGAATAAAGGGAGCATAAAGAATAGTGTGAAGATTAGGATTAGAAAATGCAGAAACGGGGAAACTATTACTTCTAGGCTAGATTAGCTCTTTAACGTTCCAGTCATGTAAGTATTCCCTTATACAAAACTTGTCGTAGTGAAGATATAGGAAAACAGATTGAAGGAGAGCAGGCTGCGATTTTGACATTTTCTAAATTTCTAATAAGAGACAAAACCAAACGTTCTTTTTTTTTTTTTTTTTTTGTTTTTTATTTTCCTTTTTGGTATGATAAGAAAGAATAGCTCTTACTCTTACCAAAAGAATAGCTCTTACTTCCAATTCTACAGTCCATTTCTTCATTTCCAATTAAATGGAATGCTTAGAGGTGAAAAGGAGGGCAGAAAAAAAAAGTCCCTGAAAAGCGAAAGCCACAAGACTTCAGAAAGTATGGTGGTATGGCACCATAAAAGAAATAAGTGGAAGATTTCCTCACAACTTAAGGAGAAAATATATGAATTTCCACAGCAACCATTCCTAAAAGTCACCCGCATAATCGATTGATGAAGACTTTTTCTGACGTGGAACGATACAAAATGCTTCATTTGGGTGGATCTTCCCCTCTACATGAGGCAGAAAAAGACTAATTGGTATTCTTTTGAATGCCACTGGATATACCAAAAACGCACAAGCGATGTATGATACTGTTGATTTAGAAAAGGGAAGATAAAAGGTGAAAGGAAAGCATTTAGCTGCTTTTTGAATGATTTAAAGTTGAATGCCAATACGGCTCGCCACTCTGGTGTTTTTTGCAATTATTGGATTGGACTCTAGCTCAAGATTGTGTCTGCCAGGGTCCCCGAGTGCGATACCGCACAAGTTGGTCAAATTTGGTAGCGCCTTTTATAGAATCAATCTATTTATCATTGGGGTAAATGTTACATAGCTCTCTTTATTATTATTATTTTTATCATATTCTTCAATTATTTATGTTTTAAATTCATTCTTCTATTTTTTATTTTTATTTTAATCTTATCTCTTTGTTAACTTTTAGACTATGCCTTAATCTCATTATTCTATTCTATTTTTTCATCATAATCTTATTTTTTATATATATAAATTTTGAAAAAAAAAACTAAAAAAAAAAATGAAGATATATCTCATCATTCTTTCTAAAAATTTTAAAAAATGGTGAAGCTAAAAATATTTTGTTATGCAAAATAATTTAAATTTATCTCTACAATAAGTAAATTTTAAATATAAAATATAAAATATATAGTATTTTAAAAAAATTATTAGTGTTGGATGCAACACTAACAAATTTCTTAATTTAGCTAAAATTTATATTTTCACTTTTGAACTAAATTAAGAAATTTATAAAATTAAAATAAGTAAATTATAATAGACTCTTTTGAGATGTTATAAAATTATGAATACCATTCAAAAATTTAAAAATAAATTTAACTTCATAAAGAACATTTTGGATAAAAAAATATTTTTAACTTCATCTTTTTTGTAGTTTTTCTTATTTCTAATTTTTAAAGAGAATGATCGGATACATCTTCATTTTTTTTCTAATTTTCTTTGCAAAATTTATTTTTAAAAATTTGATTAAAAAAAACAAGATTAAAATGGAAAAATGGAATAGAGGGATGAGATTAAACAGAAAAATAAAAAAGCTAAGTGTAAAAATTAACAAAAGGATGAGATTAAAACACAAATCAAATCTAGAAAGATAAACTTAAAATAAATAAACATATAGATGGACATGCGCAAAAAAAAAAAAAAAAAAGAAAAAAAGAAAGAAAAAGGGAATGGGAGGACTTGTACACCCGTTGTAACCCATTTATCATTTGAACACTAGGAACCTTGAATCTATAGCTTGATTACACAATCCTGGTCTCGGCATAAATCATGTCAACCACAATGGTGGAGCCATTAAGTTAGACAATTGTTTGATTAGGGCAACCTGATCTCCTCTATACAGAAATAAACTAGTTAGTTTCACCAGTTTAATATATTAGCTAATAAAGAGGGTCACAGCAGATGAAGACCTCTTCAGACTATGAACAACCAGTTTAATATCTTAACTAATAAACAGGGTCACAGCAGATGAAGACCTCTTCAGACTATGAACAACCAGATGCATGGGAGTTTTCCATTGTAATTACATAGACCAAAGAAAACTTGGTTTGAAATTTGACGGATCCATACTCTGAGACAAAGGCGAGGATGATGCTTCAGAAAATATAACAACGAAAAGGGTGTAGCCAGAATAATAATGTAAGATTGTCGATGGCAACTGAAGCGTAGAAATCTTAGTTTCTTTCAATAACTCTGAGTATTATGCAACAATGGGAGGAGAAACAGATTTGACAAACTAAATCGATAGAGAAATCCTATTGCTTCAAGGGTATCCTGAGATGATGTGGTAGGCCTAAGTGAAATAAAACAAAAGGAGATTTCATTGTGCAGAAAATCGTAAAGTAGGTGGTTTCTTTTAACAATTTCATGGCAACCGGTAAATGATTACACAAGCATACTTGATTTATAAAGTCCTTATTTACTGGCATAGACTCTAACGAGGTGACAAAAGAATCTGATTTATGATAGATGTTTGATTCATTATACAGTTACATGTATCCTTCTTATGTACATGATAATAATAGCAACACTATTGATTAGATATTTTACTTGCAGCAAAGTAATTGCAAACCTGAGCTCAAACGAAAATTGCAGCTGTTACAGATGCACTGATGCCGCTTCCCTGTGTTCCGTTACTTTGATATGAAAAGAAACTAGTTGCAAAGCAATGTATCACGTGTAGAATTTCCAGTAGTTGGATTCACCCTGATGAGAATTGAGAAGTGGCTGAATTTAATGTGGAACTATTCAAAATAGATAGACAACTGCATTTTACAAGCACTACGTAGGTCTTACCCATCTGCAACTTTGCATAAGTAATCACGTTGGTCCTCTCTTAAAGGCACATCTGTGAAATCTGATCACACACGAAGTCAATCGAACAGCAGAAACATACCAGTTATCACACTCAGACTCGACATTTATATCATGACCTCTTCAACAGATAGATGCTATTGATATGAAAACCAGTGATGCGACATACCAGCCCCTGTAATATTTGATCCTCTAAAAGATGTGTTGCCAGTAGCAAGCGCACCTTCCAAGTTAGCATTGCTCAAATTTGCCTGTAGAAAGAGGTAAAATCAGCAGTAAGACATTACCAGAAGTATATATCATTAAGTAATAGAATTAAGCTAAATTCTTTAAGCTTCTACAAATTATACTAGAGTGCATCAACTACTAAATTGTCTGTAGGCTGGTGCTACCTAGAAAATTGAATGTGCATCTGAAAATACATTTATGTAGTGAGGCACCCAAAGGAAGTTGCTGAACAGGCATTATATTCCTAAGACAACACAGTTGGAAAAAAATGCCTGCATGATACTCCTTTTGTCATGTTCCTATTTCACAACATTATCTGCAGACGTTGAAGTGCTTCTAGTCTCGTTATTCGACATCTAAGATAATAGCTTTCAGAAGCTGTACAAAAAGACAACCTTTGTCACATTTGCCAACGAGAAATCTGCACTTCTAAGGTCAGCATCTGAAAGATCAGCCCCTGTGTCACACACAAAAACAGAAAAGCAACAAGAAACCATCATCCAGAAAGCATAAGAAGAAAACCATATCGTCCAAAACGGCTATAATATGCATTAGCTAAATTTGATAGGTTCTGAACAGCAGTAAACACACATATTTAACATATCTTGAAGGCCAGATTTATCTACCTGAACATATAAGAAAAATTTCTCTGTCCAACTAAAACAGAACACACATATTTCAAATTGATAGCATTTGCTGATCATTCATTTACGTTAAAAATTCTCAGAAGGCGTATAGATGCAGAAATTCCTTCCCGCCTGTATATACATGATGGTTCAGAGGTTGTAAGTACCCAACATTTTGAGTATCATTATAGCACCTCTCCCTATTCTACCTCGTATTTTCAATTTTATGTTACCTTCTCAGTTGGAAAGAGCAGACACTCTAATTCTCGCCCCTTCAAAATGAATAAAAGCAAATCAATCTGTGGCAATTAAGATGCATCTTGGTTGCATTTCAAACGCACAGACATTAAAGATATACACCATCCTAGTTGAAACAACTTTGCCTACATGCACATGCCCATACCAAAACATCCAATTTCATAAAGTTGAAAATGCTAATCTTCCGATTAATTAATTAAATTAGAAATGTGCAATGTCTATCTCAATCCCAAATCATAGAATCCTGGAATAGGGACCAGAATAGAAGGATAAAAGAACCTGTTAAATCGGCGTCGAAAAAACTAGCTCCCAACAACTTTGCACCTTTGAAATTCGCTTGTCTCAGTATGGACTGATACACACAACAATTATAACTCGATCATTCCATTACAAGGAAATTAACCAATAACAAACTTAAATTTTAACATAGCATACATAAGAAAAGGAAACCAAATCAAATTTACCGTCTTAAAATCTTGCTTGATCAAAGTCTTGCCACTAAAATCCTTGCCAGTAAGATCCTGACCCCTAGTAACTTCAGAACCGTACGGTCCTCCTCCCTTCACATGGCACATTGCCAAATCAATCAAAAAATGCAGCAATCAGTTCTATTTCGTTTCTGGGTCACATTTAATTAACAACCAATGTCAACAAATGAATCAAATTCTGTTATTTACTACTACAAAATTCTCATCAACCAAAGAAACACTAAAAAGCAAACAGAATTAGACAATAGAGAAAACAATGAATTTCTCAACTTTTTTTTTTTTTTTTTTACCTTGAAAGCAAGTGCAGGATCAGTAAAAAAGAAAGAAGCAGAGAGGACAGCAAGCAAGCCTGTCTTTGCAAAATCTTCCACTAGTTGCTTGTTTAGCATCAATGCCTGTTGTTGAAGAAACAATGAGAAAGAGAACTTCCCTAAAACGGAAAGAAAGAAGCAGTGTGTAATGTACCTGTGGCTTAGCAACGTGAGAGAAGGATAGAGAATGGAAGTGGGGGATTGAGAGGAAGAGAGAGGGTTTTGGTGGGATTTTGGTACACAAAGAAACGTTAAGCAGAGCCATTTTCGTTTTTGATTCGTGAACTCTGTCAGCTAAGGCAAGTCTACGTTCTGTTCTGACTTCTGATTGATAATATGGATAACGAGAATAATGGGATTGGATGTGAGGACATCTTTCGGTGCGGCCACTTCGGCAAAATCATCGTGTATACTTCAGCACTAATATCAAGCCACGTAATATATATATATTTTTTTAAATGGAGCCAGAAAACCTAGAAAGGATTTACAATGAGTTGGGTTATCCATCATTGTTGAGGCCTTTTGAGCTTAATTTGATCACAATTGTTGAATCATTTGAGGTATGGACTTGCGCTCTGAACATGCACGCTCTATTACCCATTGAATGGATATGGGCCTCTCTTTATGCCGCGAAATTTTTCCAGCTTTAGAATCCATGAGTATTGGTCCGATATCCTCTCCATAATTGAGAATTAGTGTTCATGAACCAAGCCCAATAAAAAATCGGCCCGGATCTTGATCCATGGACATCCGAATGTGGATAAATTAGTAGTTACCCTCGGGCTTTTATATATATATATATATATATATATATATATATATATATATTCTCTTTTTATATTAAAGATAAAACTAATAATTTTTTAAGTAAGAATGATAAAATTTAACTTTTTTTAATAAATTTGATTTTAAAATAAAAAAATTCATTTAGAAATCAATTTGCTTATTACAATGCCAACAACAACTTGTTAGTGGTTTTGTTATATTTTCAAAATCTAACTTATTAACTTCAGATTTAACGAGTATAATTTATTTATGGCTAAAATGATTAAAAATTGATTTTATTATTTTTCTTTCTTGTTTAATTTAAATTATTGGATTCAAAATAGATGGTGGAATTTAAAATATGAAATCATTCAAATTTATTCGAGTACTAAAAAAAAAATTAATAGACGCAATCAGAATTTCTTCTTTTTCTTAAAAAAAAAAGGTTAGAAAAAATACGCAGAAAGGAAAGGATCATTATTAATTAACGAAAATGAAAGAGACACACTGACACTAAGGCAAGTACTAATTTCATTTAATTTGGCGTACACCATTTCCTCTACGCTCGAACCAGGAATACGGCTCCGGTGAGTCTAAAGTTGGTCACAGTCAGATAAGCCCAGAACTTTTTATTGAAAAGGGCAAAACTGAGCGTCAAGTTGCGGCCTTTACTTACCACTTTGGGAACCGAAAACCGTAGGAAGAAGGACACATGTGCACCGAAAAATGGGTTAAATTACAGCGATTAGATAGAGTAGATAGATAGATATAATTATGGGTAGCTACTGTAAGAAACGTATTAGACCTCTCCAGGCTGAGCACGAGCAGGTTGGCTTTTGCAATCGTATTTTAAGTAGAGTCATGTTCCAGACCTTGGCATTTGATACCTTGTCGGGACTCGTAGACAATGACGTGTTTCCACTCGCCACCCAACTCTCACTTGCACTTTACCCCACGCACCCCACCAAAGAAAATCCACCTCTTCAGAAATGCTAGAAGCTGCTATTTTGAAAAAACTAGCCTTGGCTACGTTTTATCTTGCCTTTTATTTTTCGTATTCTAGAACAATAGAGAGTGTTGTAGCATTATTGTAGCTTATTAGTATTTTTGTACAGTACTTGTGAGTTGAAAAAAAAATCATATTATTTTTTGATATTGTCGACAATGTAATGCTGATATATCGTAAAATACATAAAAATAATATTTCAACTCAACTCTTTCTTGTTTTTAAATCAACTTTTCATATATTAAAAATAACTTTTTTTACCGGTTCTTAAATTGTTCCCATCAAAATTGTACATTTACACGAAATTTTTTCTTACTTGCTTCGTTTGTGGAAACTTAATTATCTTCTCGCCTGAAAATTACTTTAATTTATGATTTCGGTTTTGTGATGACATAAAACAAATTGGATATTTCAATTTTTTTCTACTAGATGATGGCACGGAACTTTCACTTTCACAAAGTAAAGAAGCGGAAGCCTTCTCACACAAAATTGTTGAAAACAAAAAATTATAACCCTAAGTTTGACAAAACCAAAATTTCTCAATCAATGAAACACTCTAGTTTCCATTGATTTTATCGAGATTTGAAATCTCGTTATGATCTAAGCTAGATTGTTAATCAATAAAAATACTATCTCGAGTTATAAACTTTAAAAACATAGTAAAACACAAATCATAGATAAGTATGAGAATATACAATGCACAAAAACTCTAAGCAAAACGTAAGAATATATAACATAATTTGAGAAAAAATTCTCAAGAGTTTTATTAATTAATGTCTAAACTTCAAAGTTGTTTTTCATGCCTTAAATACTACACCAAAAATTAGACTAAACCAAATAAAACTTTTCCAATTCAAATTACAAAAACTTTAGCTTAATTAATCCTATTAAAAAAATATAAATTCAATCAACATTCAATTAGCTAGGACTAATTAATTTTAGTCCGATCCTAAACAAATATGAACTCTAAATAACAATCATTACGAATATAAAATTTTCAAATCAAATAAAAAAACCTAAATTACATAAAAAAAAAAACTTAAATCAAATAAACAAGATTAAATATTTCGGCCCATCTTAAAAAAGCATTCGACCTAGATGAAAAGGTTGGGTCACACTTTTGAGTCAATTTATAATATCAAATACATTATTGAGTAATTTAGTAATCCATGTTTCATTCTAATTATTCAAATTGGTCTCTTAATCATAACATACCCAGTTACTCAAATAATTTTTATATTTGTGTTATCAAAATTAAACTTGGATAAACATTAAGTTTTGTTTATTTCATTTTGTTGTAAATGTATTTTTTAGAATATTCACACATCGATAAAGAGGAAACTCATTCGAGTCGAGTTCTCATGTTTAAATCCCTTGAGATATATTGCAAGGAAAATATAAAATATTTACCGATGAATATGTGATTAATTAATTTATACTCTATTTTATGAAAAAAATACTTATATCAAATGTACGTGAAAAGAAAGTAACAATTACACTCTAACACTATTTTTTTTATCCGTGCTATGCTACAGATCGGACAAAACACATAAAATTATTTTACTTTAATGTTTTGTATTATATTGTGTATATACTAAAATATATAAAATAAAATTTGAATAAAAATTCATTTAATTTTATAATTTTTAATCAAAATTTCGTATCAAACTAATTATTCTTTATATTTTTCATAAATTTTTTATTAAAAAAATATTATTTATTTATTTCTATCCACAAACTAAAAAATTTTGTATTAAATTTTTTGATTAAAAAAATCAAAAAAAGGACCAACGTGATCAAAATAAAACAAAAAATGAAACCAAAATTAAATAAAAAATATTTACGAACTAAAAAAATAATATTAAAAAAAAAGATATCAAAGTATAATGTCACGAAAATTTTCATAATAAATGTTTTAAAAATATTTGAAAACTACATGAAATTATTTTAGTTTAATATTTCATGTTATATTGTGCGTATAACAAAATATATCAAATCAAATTGAATAAAAATTTATTTAATTTTATCATTTTTAATCAAAATTTTGTTTTAAACTGATTATTTTTTTATTTTTTATAAATTTTTTATTCAAAAATATTTTTTATTTATTTCTTTCAACAAACTATCTTAAATTTTTTGATTAAAAAATAAATAAAAAAACCAATATGATCAAAATAAAATAAAAAATAAAATCAAAATCCAATAAAAAATATATACGAACTAAAATAACTATTTAAAAAAGAGATCAAAGTTTAATGTTATAAAAATTTTTATAATAAATATTTTAAAAATTATAAAAATATTATTATACAGTGAAAAGAATGATATATCTAAATCTAGAGAAATAGTATGGATGAACGTGGATAGCCAGTATTTCAAATGGTATATTGGTGGTTGGACAAAAAGGAAAAGATTGATCAATGTTTCCTATAAATGGCACATTGGTAATTTACCAAGAAAAATCGTAATGATTGACTAGAGTGATGCTAGCTCATTGGTCAAGCTTTTACGGTAAGAAGTGGGTGGGTGCATTGTATAAAAAGCTATCGAACGAGAAGCTTGAAACTTGTATTGCACAAAACCAAAAAAACCAGGGAGACAAGAAAAAACCAGACTCTGCAAAACCGCTATAGGATGTAGTAATACCATTACGCGAACCCTTATCGTACGCCTAAGTAATTTTTAACGTACGCCCGCATCGCAGAACTGGTAAAGCAGCACGCAACTTCAACTAGTACTAGTAAAATTTGGAGGACCCCTGTAATCTCTTGGCTTGCCGTACTAGGCTGACCACTCTGTACTTCAGATTGTGAAGTTTTTCTTTCTTTGACCAAACAACTTCGCGCTATATGGTACTCACGTATTCATGTGAGGTGAGGTGAGGTGAGTTTCTTCTTTATACATTGGTGTTTCATCCCAAAGCCCTTTTTAATTAATGGGAAAGGTGAGAAGTTTTTGTATGTTCGGCTTCAGATCCTTATAAGTTGGGTTTAGAGAAGTGAGTTTTGAGTTGTTTATGTTGCTGATCTGATTTTTTTTAATGAATTTGGAGGCTAATGTTTAGGGTTTTTGATTTTCGCATGCAAAACAAAGGAAACCCATATGTCTAATGTCTGATTCATGCAACATGGGTAGATAGTAGTATATATTAGCTGGGTTAGTGGGTTTGGGTTGAGTTTGATTCTTTCTTTTGGCGAGAAGGAACAAAGGATAAGGTTTTGGATTGTATCTGTTTGGATTTGGGATTCTACATTTAGAGATTTCTATCTATCTGCAAACATACAAAGAACAAAGAGGGTAATAAGGCCAAGATACTCTTCCATCTTTCAATGCTGTGTTCTTGTCAGTTACTGATTCAACAAGGCACTGATATAGAGTGAGACGAACACCAAAGATAGTTACAATACAAAATAAGCTATCTTTAGCTTATTATCTCTTGGATTTCTTTTTCGTGTTCAAAACTTCAGGCCTTTTCGGTTCTATCCAGAATCAAACATGGCAAATCGCTGGTGGGCTGGAAATGTTGCCATGAGAGGTGTAGATCCAGTATCTTCGTCTCCTTCTCTTCAATTGAGAAATCTTGAAGAAGAGAGTACCCCTCCCGGTTTGAACCGATTAGGTCCCAGACGAGAACAGGATTTCATTGACACCAACACCAATAGCCCTAAAACAGCCGCCACCGCCACACCTCTCAGTACTCATAACCAAGAAGATCAAGAAGATAGCAGAGACAACACCAACAACCAAGATTCTGGCGACCACACAGCTCACGAAACCATTGAACCAGGCAGTGGTAGCACATCTCGCAGGCCTCGAGGCCGACCTGCTGGTTCAAAGAACAAACCAAAACCTCCCATTGTCATCACCAAAGAAAGCCCTAATTCTCTCCGCAGCCATGTCTTAGAAATCAGCTCCGGCAGTGACCTTGTGGAGAGCATTGCCAATTTTTCTCACCGTCGCCATCGTGGTGTTTCAATCCTTAGCGGAAGTGGTATTGTGAACAATGTTACTCTTAGGCAGCCTGCAGCACCTGGCGGGGTTATCACTCTTCATGGACGATTTGAGATTTTGTCACTTTCGGGTTCTTTTCTGCCTGCCCCATCGCCTCCTGGAGCAACGGGGCTGACTGTTTATTTGGCAGGTGGACAAGGACAGGTGGTGGGAGGAACTGTGATGGGGGAGCTGATAGCAGCAGGGCCAGTGATGGTGATTGCAGCAACGTTTAGTAATGCAACTTATGAAAGGTTGCCACTTGAGGAGCAAGAGCAAGAAGGAATACAACTGCAGCAGCAAGTGAATTCATCAGGGACTAATGATGGCAATGCTACCGCAGGCGGTGGTACTAGTAGCGGTGGCGGTAATAATTCTGGGACTCAATCTTCTCAGGGTTTAGGTGAGCATGGTTCAATCCCTGTGTACAATTTGCCTCCTAATTTGTTGCCTAATGGGCAAATACCACATGATGTGTTTTGGAGTCCCCCTCCTCGCCCTCCCCCTCTTACTGATGATGTGATAGAGAGAGAGAAGAGTTGTTAGTTTGGATTAGCTGACTCATGTGCAAAAACATCTTAAAAGACAGTTTCATGTACGCATAGCAAAGAAGGTAGGACATTTTGGATTAGTTTCTGTGTAAACTAGCTGGCTCTAATCTGTAGGTTATGCTATGTTGTTGAAACTCGTTGATGTATGATCTGTTTGCTTTTCTCTAATCATCCTTTTGTGGAAGAATATTGTATTTTTTTTATGATGTAGGAAGAGAAGAAATATACCAGTCAAGAACTGCTCATTAATGGAAATTTGTGGATGAGACCAGAGAACTTTTTAATTTTCTTAGGTAAGCATGCCAAGCATATACTATTATGTTTTCTTGTGATCACTAATTTGGTTTTATTCTCTTGGGAATGATTATAATTTTGTGAAACATTGTTTGTGAAATGTGTGATTTGGGAAAATTTTGAAAGTTATTCAGCTTAGTCCATCAATGTTATGATTGATTTTTCCCTCTGAATAGGAAATGTGGGGTTTAATTCATCTGCAATTGCATTAGAATGGGTCGATTCATATTCCGATTTAGTCGAACTTTTAAAGGCGTTGAATTTTGCATCATTAGTGCACATTGGGCTAGTTTCCAAGTTTTAATTAGCCGATCAGTTGAATGCTTTACCCTTGTTTATTTGATACGAGGGGCCATTCCTGGCCAGATATGGCTAATAGTCTCCCACCCTGAGAAAGTTCTTTTAACATCTAGCATCTTCCAGTAAACTATTATTGGTAAAGAAATGTCTAGGGTTTCAATAACCTACACATCGTACCCAATTATATCTGTATACCTGTCCAAGTTAAGATATTCCAGTAAACTATTTGATACGAGGGGCCATTCCTGGCCAAATATAGCAGATTGTCTCCCACCCTTAGAAAGTTCTTTTAACATCTAGCATCTTCCAGTAAACTATTATTGGTAAAGAAATGTCTAGGGTTTCAGTAACCTACACATCGTACCCAATTTTATCTTCATGCCTGTCCAAGTTAAGATATTCCACATATGTACTAGTTTGTAACTTATTTATGTCAAACAACAAGAAACTTGGGCAAGTTAGCGACCGCATGTAGGGATATTATATGCTTTAGATCTAATCATCGTTTGGATATATATATTCGTTCCATAGCAATCTTAGCTTAATCGCTTGGAAGTTTAGCAAGTTCTCAAATTGGTAAAAGAAGTTCAGTGAGGATTGCCTAGACTTGATCTATTTCAGTTATGTCTCTTCTTTGTTTTAGTAACTTAATTGATTCGGTTTGAGTTTCTTTGCTTCTCTTTACTTTTGTCTTGTACAGTCATGCAATCAATTTATATAATGTCCTCAAGTTGGGCATGAGCTTTACAAATAGGAAAAAAAGAAAAAGAAAAAAAGCATGAGCTTTCCATAGATTAATGTAAGTTGAAGATTGAAGAAAGCCAATTGCATTCCTATGACTGTAGCTAGACCATTGTATGGTCTTCTCACGAGCATGATTTTCTTTTAATTTTGTTAATTTGATTAATTATTGAGCACACAGTTATTTGTTTCAAATGATATGTTAGAACCAAGAATTGCATGTCATTATCTTACATGTGTACAATATGATGTTGGTTATTACTAGTTGGGTATACTGCGTTGAGGATCGTGAACGAATTTTTTGTCCATTTTAGACCATTTTAGTCAATGGTAGTTGATGTAATCTTGAAGACAAGTTTTCAATGTGGTTAGATAGACATTGAAGAAAATATGAACAGGTATATTGTACTAGCTCTCTGTGTGCATGCATGTAACATTAACGCTAGTAGATAAGACCTTAATTTCTTTGGATGGGGGTGAAGTGCGGTTGACTATGCATGTGGCTCGAACTCCAAGGACAGAATGTCATCTTTCCAAGAATTTCAAACTCAGAATGAAGAAAGAAGGATCGCCTTTCTGATTCAATTATAGCATAGAATTGCATCATTGTGAATCTCAGTCATCAACTGGAAAGGTTTCGTGTATTGACAATTCCGGTGGGCGGATGCAGATTTCTTGCAAGTAATTGCATGACTAGTGATTGATTTGGTTTGGAGAAAACGACTCATTTGCCACTGTCACTTGATTTAGTCAAGTCAATTGTTAACAGCTGGATAGATTGATGTGATTGAGTGTTAATCTATGAAAAATTAAAATGTCTTGTGAAATTTCCTTCTCTCATTGGCAGGGTTATATTTAAAATGAATCTCACTTGTGCAGCTACTGCTAAGAATGTTTTAGACTCTCTCTTTGATTTGGGCTCAGTGGGTTTCTTAATTCCATGTAGATGTAGGGTCGAATCCTCGTGTGTTTCAAATAGAACTTGTAAATTCTTACTAGTTTCAAACTATTCATCATGTCATGTCCGTTAATTGATCCGCCTTTGATGTTCGTAGGTTCGGGACCATGCTAGCTATTTATAGGTGAACCCTGAGAAGCATTAATTAGATGTAGAGGTATGGAACTGGATGCTCTTGGCGTTTAGGACGTCAGTGCTGGCTGCATTCAAGTGGTCGCATCTTGGCAAAAACCCACCGCTTTGACATCTCATTAATGCTACGTTTCCCGTTCGTCAACTTATGGTGGCCTTGTTGAATGTTTCTGTTAGGAAATAGAACAGCAGATTTGAGCAGTAAAATTGACTCTTGTTTTCAACTGTAAATTAGAATCCGTTCTGCTTGAGGTCTGAGGACAGAGCTAGGAAAGTTCCTCGAGAAAATACCACACCATATTTAGATTTTACCAGTTTTTCTAATTCACGATGCATATATATATATATATATATATATATATATATATTTAATAAAAATTTATTCAATTTTATTATTTTTAATCGAAATTTTGTATTTGATTAGTTATTTTTTATGTTTTTCATAAATTTTTTATTTATGTATATCTATCCACACACTAAAAAATTTATAATAGAATGAAAAATGTCAAAATTAACAGATTCCTAGCTAAAAAATTATTTTATAAATTATTTTTCTAAATATTTTTTTATCTCAAATTTTTAATAAAAAAATCAAAGAGAAAAAAGGATCAAAGTGATCAAAATAAAACAAAAACATTTACAGACTAAAAAACAATGTTTTAAAAAAAAATCAAAGTATAATATTACGAAAATTTTTATAATAAATATCTTTAAAATTTTTAAAAATTACAAAATACCATTATATAGTAAAATAAATAACGTATCTAAGTCTTGTTAAATAGTGCGAATATATTTAGATAAATAGTATTTTAAATAGTATAATGAATAATATATTTAAAATTATAAAATATCATTATATAATAAAATGAATAGTGTATCTAAATCTTGTTGAATAGTGTGAATAAATCTAGATGAACAGTAGTATTTTAAATAATACAATGAATAGTAATTGATTATTTTAGTTAAGTGTTTTTGTGTGCGTGTGTGTGTGTGAATAACTCGTCTAATTTGATTAAGTTTTAGACCCTTGACGTTGTCTGCTTTCTGTTTTTTTTCTTTTTTCAAAAAAAAAAAAGGAATCCCAAAAAATCAAGTCAGGTCCCTTTACTTTCAACATTTTACAAACTGAACCTCCCGCATTTTGATTTGGTCAAAACGAGCACCCTATTTACGATAAAATGGTTTTTAGCCCATCATTCGTAGCCCTCGCAGTGTTAAAATTAGCGACTCTAAAGTGTACTGATTTGTTAAAATCTAGTTAACCTTGGCTCGTCTTTTCTAATTTCTCTGTTGTCGGTACCTTTTATGAATAACGCTGTGATTTAAAGCTAAGGGATGCAAAAATAAATATAACAGTTTATTAAAGCTTTATCTTTATCAGACAGAATAATACTCTCTCTCTTCTAAAAAGATTTTCCCACTTTCTATTTATATTTGTCCAAAAATGATTTTTTGGTAAAAATTTTAAATATTATACTTTTCTAAAATACTCCTAATTAATTTTATCTTCTATTTCTTCTTTTTTGCTAACTAAAAATTAAAATTTTAAAATTTTTATTTTACACAGACATATATATTTAAAATAAAAAAATCAAAAGAAAAGTTTTTATTACATGAAAACTATTCATTTTACAGAATATTTAGAATTTCTTAAATGATCTTTAGATCTTTTTAAAAAATTTCTGACTTAAATTCGTGATAGATTTTGAGATTAATTTTTTGGGATAAAATTTCACGAGAAGTTTTATACACTCTAATGATCTCTAGAACTTTCTAAATTTTTTCAACTTAAACGGAAGGAAAGAAAATCTTGATTTGATGCTTTGATTTTGAAATTAATTTTTTGGCTTAAAATTTTATGAAAAATTAGGATTTGTTAATGATATTTAAACGTTTTTAAAAGTTTTTTTTAACTTAGATTTTAGAATGATAAATATTTAATTGGGCTTCTTAATTTTAGTAGGGTTTAAGGATCTACACATCTTCTTAAAAATTTTGAAACTCAAATCTGATAAAATGGAAAGATATTTTAAGAAAGCAAGGATAAAAAAAAAGGGTGGATGAAATTTAACTATTTTCGCATAAAAACTTATGCCGTGCTAAGTTTTTCTTATATTTAACGGATCACTAAGGCTTCAAGTTTGTTAGTGTAGAACTAGAGATGTATGAATTTGTCAATACGTTGATAAAAGTGTTTGGTCATGCAAAAATTCACGCAAAGGCACACAAACAGAGGACTTTAGTTTCTCTGATGTAGATAAATACAGTCAAAATTTATTGATTGTTTCGGTCCAACTCCATAGAGCACGAATATGATAGGAATGCTGGTGGTAGAAATAGCTCTAGAGTTAAATCAAACGTGACAAAATTTGTATGGTAATAGAATCAACTCTTAAATTTGCTGCATTAGTCAAAGTATCATCAAATATTCAATGCATACGTCAACTTTACAGCTCGATGACATATTCCAAGCATCATCATATAACAAAACGTTCCAGCAGTAATAGAATCTATTTTCGCTAACATTAATCAAGGAAGCACCAAAAATCAAAGCATACCTCAGCATTAGGACTCGGAGACTTTCACGGAGCCCTGGCTAATTTTTTACCCGCCCGTTGCTAGTGCTGCCTCTAATAATGGATAAACAAGCTTTTAAAAAATAAGGATAAAAAAAAGTTATGTGTCATAATAATTAATGTTTTTTTTTTAAACAGCATGAAAATTCAAAACGAACTAATATTTTGAAACAAAGAGAGTATTATATTTTAATAAATAGTTTATCACTTAAATGAATTCAAAACATGAAAAACTGAATTCCATTATGGGTAACATAGTTCGTTCAAAGAAAATAAGCAAAAACATGCTTTGTCATTAAAAAAAATATAATCTATAAAAAAGTCCTTTCCAAAGGCGTATATGCACCAGATTTATTTTTGACGGGCAATTGTTTTCGATGAACTTCCACAGTTCGGAAATGATACATGAATGCCCCGATTTAGCCAATATCAGGTCCAAGTTTCACAGCCCAAGGAGTCCCGTATAATTAGACCCCAAAAAGCGCTCAAACTTCTACAATTATAGAAAGTAAAAGAACAGTGATTATTTGGATTGAAAAACAACGTCGTTGAACTCAAAGTGCAAGGAAAATGGTGAAATTTTGTTTCAGAGTGCGA